GGCCCTGGGCATGTCACACACACTCAGCCTCAGAGGAGGGTAATGGCAGCCCCCTTGTGATGAAACATGCCAAGAAAACCCCATGATAAGGTTGCCTTAGGATCGCCATAAGTCAGAAAGGACTTGAAGACACACAAGAACAACAAAAAAGTCTGTAATTGTTTCATAGGTAGTACATGGGAATACAAGCCAGCATGGTGTAGTGGTTTGACTGTTAGACTACCACTCTGGAGATCTGCGTTTGATTCCTCATTCTGACATGAAATCCCCTGGATGAACTTGGACAAGCCACACATTCTCAGCCTCAGGGGAAGGCAATGGCAAACCTCCTCTGAGCGAATCTTGCCAAGAAAACCCCATGATCACCATAAGTCAGGAACAATAGCAAAAACAATAATATTCTTGGAAGTCACACTCTCTCAGCCTCAGGGAAAGCAATGGCAAACGCTTTCTGAACAAACTTTGCCAAGGAAACCCCAGGATAGGTTTGCCTTTGAGTTGCCAGAAGTTAGAAACAACTGGAAGGCACACAACAGCCACAACAATAGCATTTTTGGAAGTCACTCTCTCAGCCTTGGGAAAAGCAATGACAAATGCTTTCTGAACAAACCTTGATGCCCTGCAAGGGGGCTTCCCTGCCTCTCTTCGCCTCCTCCTCCTTCTCCCATGGGCGGGGGGCTTTTTCTGAGGGGAAGGGAGGGAGGAACGGAGGAAAGAAAGAAGGGAGGAAGGAAGGAAGGAAGGAAGGAAGGAGGGAAGGAGGGAAAAAGGGAGGGAGAAAAGAAAGGAGGGAAGGAAGCTGAGGCCTTCCCCAGAGGCTGAGAGAGTGTGACTTGCCCAAGGCCACCCAGTGGGTTTTTACAGGGCCTTCTCTGCAGAGAGGCAGGGCAAAGGAGGGCAGCCCAGCCCAGTGAGGGAGGAAGGGAGAAACACCTCACCTCATCCTGCTTCCTCCTCCTCTTATCCCAGGCCAAGCCAGCAATGCCTCTGGCTCCTGCTCCTCCCTGATCTTCCTGAGGGTGTGGCCCAGCCCGGTCAGTTGAGAGGGAGGAGGAGGGAGACAAAGTGGCTGTTGCACTGAGGAGGGAGACAAAATGGCTGCCGGGTGAGCAGGATCTTTCTCTTCCCGGCGTATAAGACGACCGCCGACTTTTGGGAAGATTTTCTGGGGTTAAAAAGACATCTTATACACCGGAAAATACAGTAGAATAAAATTCTTCCTTTTTGTTTTCCATTTCAGCATCCATAATATTTAACAAAAATGTTTGGACAAAACTTTAATTTTACCTGTACTAGTTTTACACATGATTTGATGACTCTTAAGCAGGATGGTTAAAGTGCAACTGTTCCAGATGCTGGGGAACCACAGTGTTCATCAGTCCTAGTCAGTATAGTCAATGGTAAGGAATGCTGATAGAGGCAGTCCAGCAACATCTGGAAAGCTACACTCAGCAAAATAATGCATTGAAGGCTGAACCTGTTTCGGTTTCTAGGAAGACAACCATGCTTTCTTTAAAAAAATCTGTATTTTATTTTTCCCTAAACTCTGACTGATGTCACATACTCATTTTCACAAAGTATTTCTTGTTCCCTCTTCCCATAACTGTGAAATAACTTCTGTTCATAGATAAGTCTGTTTTCATATGCATTAAAATATATTATATGTGGTATTTGACATTTGTGGGGCCACTTGAAGATGGAGTACTAACAATTGCTTTGTTTCAAATGTGTGTGAGTTAATTCTGTTCTCTCTAAAACTTGTATATGAATCAATAATAAAGCTATTTCAAAGTGGGTACCAGAGAATGTTAAAAGCAACAGCAGATCAAGTAAACAAGGGCTTGAAAAAGGATGGAAAATATGTGGAACAGTGAAAGTTACTTGCAGGAGGGGAATATATGGAGGGACTTTTTCATTGATACTTTCCTTAACCCCAGGCATCTCTCCAAATATGGGTTTTGGTGCCAAGAGGCTGTTCAAAGCTGTCAACTACCATATTGGCAGTATTCAATGCTTCAGTAACCATGGAGAGACCATGATCAGACAGATGGGTTAGGACACATCCAGTGATTTCTATGTCAGTAGAGTGGTTTCATGTCAGTAAAGTTAAGATTGTACATGCCACCTTATTTTCCATTACAATGTATGGATGTGAAAGGTGGACCGTGAAGAAAGCAGAAAGAAAGAGAATCAACACACCTGAGATGTGAATCAACAGATCTGGAGAAGGGATCTATGGATACCATGGACTGCTAAAGAGACAAAAAAGGGGGTTTTAAAGCAAATCAAACCTGAACTCTCCCTATAAGCCAAGATGATTGAACTAAAGCTGTCATACTTGGGCCATGCCACAAGAAAAGACAATAATCCTTAGCAAGGTAGAAGTAATAATAATAATAATAATAATAATAATAATAATAATAATAATAATAATAATAATAATAATTTTTATTTATATCCCGCCCCTCTGCTAGGCAATCGGGGCAGCGTGCAGCAAGTAGCAGAAGTAGCAGCCAAAGAGGAATACTACATTCCAGATGGATAGACTCAATCAAGGAAGCCACTGCTCTGAATCTGCAGGACCTGTGCAGTGTGGTCAAAGACTAAGAGGACTCTCCATAAGGTTTGTAGGTTCACCATAAATCAAAGTTGACTTGATGGCAGTTAGCTCTGAATCTGCAGGACCTGTGCAGTGTGGTCAAAGACTAAGAGGACTCTCCATAAGGTTTGTAGGTTCACCATAAATCAAAGTTGACTTGATGGCAGTTAGCAACAACAAAGAGTGGAAAGTCCCCACTGGCCTTCACTTTAAAGGAGCTATTCGGGGTCCTGAATGCTATATCCAAAGTAGAAGTGGCACATTGGACAACTCCTTCAAAGATGAGACTGAAACTTGGAGTTCATTCACTGACATGGAAGCCACCAGCCATCTCTGGCATAATCAGTTTACAATATGATAGTAACACAGAAAAAGATAACTCCTGTCCTTCTGTACTGTTACTTTGACTTTGAGTTACTTATTTAGTCATAGGATATGTGAAATCTCACAAGGTATCAGCCTTTTGCCAAATCTTATCTTATCCTGATGTATTAATAAAACTAATCTAGCTCCTAAAGAGATTTAGTATCTTGGATGGATTTAATATTCAAACTAAAACCCATGGGAAATTCACCAACCCACTGACATGAGAGCCAGTATCTGCCATTGTGGATACCTGAATCTGTGGATAACTGGGAAGCCAATTATTTTCAATAAGAAAAAATACTTCCAGTCCATTAATTCCATAGAATCACACTGGAAAGAACATTTCTCCAGGCATTTCTAGGCATTCCAGCATAACTGTATCATACACAGATAGTGAATCCATGGATGTGGAGGTTTTACTGTAGTGCAAAGTGCACATCTGCAAACACTGAATGTTTCACAGTAATATCTTACTTACCACATCAGCACCTCATCTTCATTGCTACTACTCACTGAGGTGAAATGATGCTGAGCTTCTTTTCACCACAATTGCTTAAAAAGCAATGCAAGTAAGTGTATTTGAATTAAACACAAGAATTCATCAAATTGTTTTCAGGTGATATGAATGACATGAGTTCTGTCCTGCTCTGTCTTTGTGCTGGCTAATTTAATTACAACTGAATGTCTGCATCTGACACTAGCTCTTGGAGTTCAACATTCTTCCAATTCATTTTGGCCCTTTGTTCATAGGGACTACTGAAAGAGAAAAAATAGAATGAACATATGACACATTTCCAGTCAGCTTAGAAATAGAAATCTAGGGGGAAATTGTTCTAACTATAACTATTATCTCTTCAAACATAATTTTACAACTTTACGTGCTGTCTTATTTTCAGGCATCAGGTTGGTATGAAAGCAGTTATTATTTTGATAAACAGTGATGCCAGAGATAAATCATCTGGACAATCTAATGGAACTGCTAAGGGCACTTACCTGGGAGAAAGCCTCATTTCACATAGTGGAGTTGACTTCCCAGTAAATATGTCCAGGACTGTGTTGTAAATATTTATTTATTTTATTTGTTTATTTGTTTTATCTTATTTCCATGCTGCCTTTCTCTGGGAGGAAGACCCAAGGTGGCTTATGGGGGCGGGGGAGGGGGGCAAAGGATCAATTAAAACCTGGCACAATTAAAATAATCACAATTAAAACAATATAAAACAATATCCCCCTCAGCTTGGGCCTTCATATCTTAATAGCAACCATCTCTCATATCTACCAGTATCTCTCATATCCACCAGATCAACCATTCCCTATCAACACTTCCCCCACCCAAAAAAAGGGCCTCCCCGACATGTCGGGAGGGGCTCTATGTTGCGCCGGCCAATTTAAAAGACGCCAACACCTGATTGGTTGGGTGGACAGGAAGTTCCGCCCTTCCTGCACCGCCCAGCCAATCGGGAAGGGGATCCTCTAGGATCCCCGGCACACTGGTAGTCTCGCATCTCGCAAGACTACCAGTGAGACTTGGGGGCTATATAGCTCCTGGCTGCCATGAGGTGGCAGCCATTTTTAGGTTAGCAGACAAGCGGAACGCTTGTCTGCTAGTGTCTGGAAGGCCTTGGAGGCCTACTGATTGGGTGCACAGAGCAAAGCTTTGGGCCCAGCTCCATTTCGGGCCTCTTGGAGGGGTCGCGGCTGATCAGCCCGACCCGATAGGCCCCAATCATCGGCAGCCCCATCCACTGGGCCTTCGCCAGCTTGGTCGCCATGGCCTGATTGGTGCAGCCTGGTGTGAGCATGGCAAGACCGGCCTCTGTGATCCCAGAGGGGCCTGCAGATCGTGTGAGGCAGTCGGCCTGTCGGTGAGGCCCCTCAGGAGGCCCGTCAAGCTAAGGCAGCTCCTTGTCATGGCCTGTTTACACTCGGGGCTTGGTGAGACTAGGTGTGGGGGGTGGTGGCCCCCATTGCAAGGGTCTCAGTGGCTGAGCATTCCTGGCCAGCCCTCAGGGGTGGCACCCTCATTCAGCAGCCAGACTGCAGGGCTTAGTGGTCACTAGTGCCCAGTGTGGCCTGGCTCCCTATTGAGGGAAGGCTTGGTGGTGGGCCTAGGTGGTATGGCCCTTTGAAGGCCTGGTGGTGGGCCTAAGTGATATGGCCCTTTCAGGATTACACTCGCTGGTGATACCAGCTTGGTTTATTTGTCCCGAAGGAACTGGATAGGCCATTAAGGCCGGGTTGGGCCCCTGCTGGGGACAGGTTCTGATTGGGGACATGTGCCTGGGGGGAAATTTA